GTTGAATGCTCATTTGTTGCTGGACACCAAACTGGACCCTGCACGAAGTATACACAAATATATTTGGTGTTTTTTTGTTTGCCCTGTCAGTCCACCCCGGGACAAAGTTCACCGTGCTGGTAAAATCTGTCTTCACTTAGCCTTCTAGGCATTTATATGAGCAAAATTTTGTCAAAATTTCGGCCTCCCATTTCAGAGTCCAATTTTAAAATCGTTCGAAAGAAGTAGAGTCCGATTTGAAAAAACTGATCAACCAACTGGGATCGTCCGCGGAAATTTGACGTGAACACGCTGGCGCCTTTTCCTTCCGAAACCGCACGGAAGCCGAGCGCGCCTCATGCTCGACGGCGCCGGTGGCCGGACGCCGTCGACGCACCCGGCGCTGCGCCACTGCGTCGCGCTCCTCCGCCTCCACCTCGCCGCGCCGTCCCTTGCCACCGCCAAGCAGCTGCACGCGCGCGCCCTCCGCGCGGGCGTGCCGCCCGCGCACCCGCTCCTCGCCAAGCACCTCCTCTTCCACCTCGCCTCCCTCCGCGCCCCTCCCCTCCGCTACGCCATCGCCGTCCTCACGCGCCTACTCCCCGACCCGGACCCCTTCTCCCTCAACACCGTGCTCCGCATCGCCGCGTCCTCTCCGCGCCCTTCCCTCGCGCTCGCGCTCCACGCCCGCCGCCTCGCGCCGCCGGACACGCACACCTACCCGCCTCTCCTGCAGGCGTGCGCGCGCCTCCTGTCACTCCGCGACGGGGAGCGCATCCACGCCGAGGCCGCCAAGAACGGGCTTGCCACGCTCGTCTTCGTCAAGAACTCGCTGGTTCACCTCTATGGCGCGTGCGGCCTCTTCGAGAGCGCGCACAGGGTGTTCGACGAAATCCCCGTCCGCGAGCGCAACCTCGTCTCCTGGAACTCGATGCTCAACGGGTTCGCGGCCAATGGACGCCCCAACGAGGTTCTCACCATCTTCCGGGAGATGTTGGACGTGAACTTCATGCCAGATGGATTCACCATGGTGAGCGTGCTGACCGGGTCTGCTGAGATTGGCGCGCTTGCTCTTGGGAGGAGGGTGCATGTTTATCTGACGAAGGTTGGGTTGGTGGGGAACTCACATGTTGGTAACGCCCTGATTGATTTGTATGCCAAGTGTGGCTGTGTCGAGGACGCAAGGAGGGTGTTTGAGGAGATGGGGACAGGGCGAACCGTTGTCTCCTGGACATCGTTGATTGTAGGCTTGGCGGTGAATGGTTTTGGGAAGGAGGCACTTGAGCTGTTCGGTGTGATGGAGAGGGAGAAGCTTGTGCCGACTGAAATCACAATGGTAGGAGTGCTGTATGCTTGCAGCCACTGTGGACTGGTTGATGATGGGTTTACGTATTTTGATAGGATGAAAGAGGAGTACAACATTGCACCAAGGATTGAGCATTTGGGATGCATGGTGGATCTGTTGGGGAGAGCTGGTAAAGTCAAGGAAGCATATGATTATATTCTCACCATGCCACTGGAGCAAAATGCCGTCGTGTGGAGGACCTTGTTGGGTGCCTGTGCAATGCACAAGAAGTTGGAACTTGGGGAGGCTGCTTGGGCACATCTGGTTGAGCTTGATCCAGGGCACAGTGGAGATTATGTTCTCCTCTCGAACCTTTATGCTGCTGTCGGGAGATGGGCCGATGTTCATGTGCTTAGAAAAACAATGGTCAAGGATGGAGTGAGGAAGAACCCTGGGCACAGCCTTGTGGAACTCCGCAACTATGTGTATGAGTTTGTTATGGGTGATAGGTCTCATCCTGAGAGTGAACAGATATACCAAATGCTTGCTGAGATAGCTGATAGATTGAGACGTGAAGGTTATATCCCACGTACAAGCAATGTGTTGGCAGATATAGAGGAGGAAGAGAAAGAGACTGCCTTGAACTACCATAGCGAGAGGTTGGCCATTGCATTTGCTTTGTTGAAGTCTCTTTCTGGTACTCCTATCAGGATAGTGAAGAATTTGAGGGTGTGTGGGGATTGTCATACTGCAATTAAGCTAATATCAAAGATTTATGATCGGGAGATCATTGTGAGGGACCGCAGTAGGTTCCACCATTTCAAAGGTGGATCATGTTCATGTAAAGACTACTGGTAGTTGATCAGTGCATGGATTAACTGTCTTATGATCAGAAAAGTTGAGCTAAGTTCAGGAGTGGCAAGTCATATATGGATTCAAGCTCGGGCACTCAACTTCTGTTGACTGTTGCACTGGAGGGGCAATGTTGAGACAGCCTCATATTTTATAGGTTGTATTATCACATCCCAACTCTTAAATTTTCAAATGAAAGATGTTTTAAGATACAGCAAGAACTAGGTTGAGAACTTCACTTTTATCATACTTTCGTACCTTGTAAAGTTGTAGATGATACAACAAATAATAATTTAATTCTGTTTTATTCCTCTCACTAAACAAATTAATGTGTAAACTGTATGTTCCAAGCATATTAAGTTTGACTCTGGTTCGAAACAGGTACTCGCTAGTTTCCCTTGGTTCGGTGAGTAAATAAATATAACCGTTTGCATGTGTCCACCTGCTTGATACAGATCTGAATCCTGATAGTAGGACTGCATGAAATGATCAGGCCATGTTTTGGAAACTTTTGTTCCTACAACATCAATGCAAGACTGATGGGCCCCTTATAATTTACAACCTTCTAAAGCTTCTAGAGAGCAAGGCTTAGAATATAACTGCTTTCTTCATGACACCATGCACCAAAGGTTAGCTTAGTATACACCCTCTTTAACCTTGTTTAATGGATGTTGCTTTATTTCAGCTGTTTCAGCTCAATGGGATTGCCACTGATGTTCTGGGAATGCCAGTTTAATTCCAGGTGCGACTCAAGCAAAAAAAAAAGGAATAACTTTTTTCCTTGTAATCCTGTTCACGGAACCACCTTCATTAGGCTTCAGTCTTTGTAAAGGTTCTTCCCTTACAGAACTACTTCCCTGTCCTTTATTATTTTTGGAAAAAAAAATCAGCGCCACCGACAGATCATCATCCTTCATCATTCCATTTGAGAATTACAGTTTTGTTCCCCAGTGCGGCACAGGAAAAAAACTCTAGCTTTTTCCTTGGGTCCTTGCAATCTGGTTCACAGAAACCCCTTCATTAGGCTTCAGTCTTTGGAAAGTGAAGGTTCTTCCCTTAATATACAAGGAAAGCTCTTCCTCATTAAGCCCCAACCTATGCTACCATGAAACAACAAAGAAAAGGAATGAGAACATGCACTTGGCCCCTTCACATCTCATGGAATCTGCTGTCTACGTTTCCTTTTGTCCCTTCAGAAATCATGCCCATGCATGCATATCAGGAAAAGAATCTCATGGTTTCCTGGCCTTCAAGTCATTCCCCTCAATATTATAGTGTTTTCATAAAGGTCATTGTACTAGTACAATCTAAGAGCTGAGATGCCGATATAATCCTTTATAGCTTCAGGCATGCTGCAAGAACTGCAGTAGTGCAGTACTACCACCTTAGTAAACCATCTGCATGCATGCTTCTTAAGTATGATAAAGCTCTCTAATTTCTTCCTATTCAATGGGGAAAACATCAAATGCTAGTAGTAAATTGTGTTAATTATAGTCATGTCAGTCAAACTGAGACCAAATAGCCTGATGTTTCAATAGACTGGTCCTCTGTGGCCGGCCCTGAGTTTTCTGGGGCCCGGGGCGAAACCAATATCCGGGGCCCTTTAAGTACATGATAGTGACAATACTTATACGTAAAAATACATATGCAATGTCAATGATAAACACATAATTTCATATGCAAAAACATCATTCATATGAAACAATTCATACATATAAATTATCTTTAAAACTTATGGATAGACCCTCTCTGTGATTGTATCAACTCATTTACTCGTGTTTTTTTTTCTTTTTTCACTACCCGAAGCTTACTTTCTTGATGACATGATACTGTTAAAATTTGGAGAACGAATTAGCCAAAAAAATAACACCAATCTGGTAATTCACATTAACTTAAATCTGAAATTAAATCAATTTTTGTATGGTTGCACCCTAATTTTAATTGAGCACGAGCAAAGAATCAGCGATTACGCATTATGCTTCAATGCTATAATGGTGAGGGTACTCCTGCAATCAGTCAAACTCATCCAATATAAATATATAATCACGTTCAATTCCAGAGCATAATAGGCCAGCAGAGGACGTAGAAACCTATTCTGATTAAATCGCCGGCACTGGCATCGGGTTTTTGTGGACTTGGTCTGCATACCTAGATCATACTCACATGGAGCAGAACTGCAGAAGCTTGCTACTTGCGTCTTTTTTTTTTGACAAATGCTACTTGCGTCTTGGTATCTCGGTGAATCACGTCTTGCGTTGCGTCGCTGCCGTCTCATGTGCGTGGTCCGCGGACAGTGATTCGCGTCTCACATCACCGCCGCGCAGGAGGAGTCGAGGTCGAGGAGAGCGCGTATCGGTGTGTTCGTGTCACCCGCGAACTGACCGGGTGGGGATAGCTTCTCGTGGTCGCAGATGCCAACTGCGTCCTTGGGCAGGCTGACAACGCTGCTGGGCCTTGATTGCTAACATGTCAAATACATATACATGTGTTGTGTACATACCTTAGGGTGGGGCCCCTTGGAGTTGGGGGCCCAGGGCGGCCGCCCCGCTTGCCCACCCCCAGGGCCGGCCCTGGTCTGTGGATGCAAAATGCGTCTCTCTCTGCACAATGGCCCTTTGTGCCACTTTCCATGCCACCTCCCTGTGGTGGCCATAAATATGCACCATAGCGAGCACCCTGGGGTGCTTTCCGTGTGCACGTCTTGCTTAGTGACCCTAGTGTAATCCAGCCTTTTCCCATGAACAGTGACTGCTTTATTGTCGGTACATCTGCTCTTCACTCATACTCCCGTTATATTCCCTAGGCACACACACACACGGGGGAGGAAGGAGGGCCGAGTGAAAAGCAGGGACAGTCTTGCAGTTTTGTAACTTCTGCTTCAGCCATGAAGAGAAAGGAGCTGATGATCATGCACGGCATTTTGATTCTTGGTTGGTTCATAGGTTGGTAGTACTGGTATTACAATCTTGTTCTTTGCTTACGTCTTTTCAACCATATTTCTCATGTGCTAAGGATTCAGAGTGTGTTCATGTACATCTATCAGTAGCGTATTATTAATGCAAACTATATATGCATGTTCGGTAATTAGCATTTTTTATATGGTCAGTGCCTCAGTGGTGGCATGCATAAAAATTCTGTTTAGCTGTAAATATTCACTGTTTGATTTGATCCCGGAGCCATAGTCTCTGTTCTCTGAGTTCATCATAACTCTGCCCTTCCTTGCATCGTTTTCAGCCTCTGCAGCCGCCGGACGCATCACGCCACAGGAAAAGGCGGAGTCCGTGACGCCGATCCCGACACTGTCGCCACCGGAAGGCAACATGACGTTCATCGACGGGGTGACATGGTGCGTGGCCCGGCCGGGCGCCACCCAGGAGGACCTCCAGAACGCGCTGGACTGGGCGTGCGGCCCCGGCGGCGCCGACTGCTCCCAGCTGCAGCCGGGCGGCCGGTGCTACCAGCCGAACACGCTCCTCACCCACGCCTCCTACGCCTTCAACATCTTCTACCAGCAGAACGGCAACTCCGACATCGCTTGCAACTTCGGCGGCGCCGGAGCCCTCGTCAAGCGGGACCCAAGTACGAAAACATTTCCATCCCCATCCATCAGTGCTGGTTTTGGTCACCGGCAACATTGTCCAGTGATGTGATGTGATGTGATGCGTGTTCTTGTGTTCTTGGCAGGTTTCGGATCGTGCAAGTTCTTGGCATCTGAGTAAGTGAAACCACCTGACCCACTGCAAATCTTTTTTTTTTCTTTGCATGCATGCCCCTTCGCTTGTGGTAATCCATGTTTTGTGCGACTGGTAAATTCTGTTTGGGTGGTGCAGGACTTCTGCAGCAGCTTCGTCAGCGATGCTGGGAAGAAGGGTGTGGATAGCCATGGTCGCTCTGATCTCACTCCGGCTGAGAGTTTAGAAATCCTCTTCGTGATGATATGCTTCGCCTGATCAAGCACGGGTGCCGCCGAAGAATACTATATGTGACGTGACGCAAAATCAGTGTAATGGTGGTTTCTTTTTGTGGTTCTGTATGTAAGGAACGGGTGCTACCTTTTTCGTGTAAATTTCGTTGAAGAATGAATATACTACTAGTAATAATTAGTCGTGTTTAGAAATAATGGTGTCCACAGGAGTTTTTCAGGATTTAAACAAAAATTTTCTTATTCATTTCTGTAACTTTTTTCCTTCAACTTACAGTAGGGAGAGTGTCAGGGCGTTAATGGAGTATTTTTGAAAAAAGAAAAAGGCATAGTGGCAGAACTTCCTCACAGAAAGGCCACGGAGAAACATGGCCCATAGCCTAATAGGAAGCACCGCGGCGAAGCCCAACAGCTCTCCGTCGAAACTAGCCCGAGGCCCAATATGGAGCAGCGCGACAAAGGCCAGACAGGACAACACAACGCGCTTACTCTTGGAGACTGATTGTCAGGTTTTAGTCAGTCTATATGCATGAATCGGGCCAAGCAGAAGTCGGCGATTGCCCCTGTACTGCAACAGATGGAGGATCTGAGCCAGAGTTTCGAAGATTTCCATTTGAGTTTCAGTAGTCGAGTTTGTAATAAAGTAGCTCATGTACCAAAACTCTTTCACTCGCTGTTAGGCCATTTCATCACTTTCTTTTATAGGTTCACCCCTAACTTATTTTTATTTTCACCCTTGAAAGTCTCTTCTTCTAGATTGCATGATTGCATCCACGGGTGCTTCTTAGAGATGGAAACTATGGCAACTTTACTAGGATCTGTTGCAACTCCTCACTTCCTTAGCACTTGTAGTTGTAGGAGTAGGCCAGTCTTGAACTATGGCAACTTTACTAGGATGCGAGCCGTAAAGGGGCGTGCCTGGGCCATAGGTGTGGCCCATGGGCGGGCACGGCACGGCCTGCCATGCCCGACTCCCTTTGGGCCGTGCCTTGGCCGGGCCTAGGCGTGCCGTGCCGGGTTGCCCATTTGGCCATCTATACTTGTGCGTGTGGGGTGCATTCTGAGGGCCTTTTTGGTAGGGCTCCGTTTTTTTCAAAAATAGCTCCAGCTCCGGCTCTGGCTCTTCCGAAGAAGTGGCTCCTCTGAAGGAGCTGAAAGCCGTTCTGAAAAAAGTTTGGCAAAACGACTCCTCCTGTTTTTCTAGAATGGATGAAAGATGGTAAATATCTATAATACCCCTACTTATTATTTTACTATGGTGCAGATGTAGTAAAACCCAACCTAGAAAAATTGGTTTTACTATTTTTTGATATTTGTGTGATTTATTATATATTTTACAAACATCAGGTGATTTGGTCCATTTCAGGAGGAAGCTAATAGTTGTTTTTTCATTGCAAACCTGGTCTATTTCTAAATTATTGGTGCTATTCTTTATTTTCTTTCTCTCTTGTATTTTTGCATTGAGAACCCTATCTTTTCTCCAATTCTTGCTAGCATGTCCTCTCCTTTCTCTACGTACAGGCACAGGAAAACGGGCCAGCCTTGCTGTGACGGATGCTCGTCGCTCGAACCAGTGGAGGACCATCGCGTCCTTTTGCGCCCTGACGGAGGAGGAGCCCGGAGAAGCTCGGTTTTGTGGCTCCGCCTGCCACTGCATAAAAGGGCTCCGGCTCTTCCAATGCTCCGTCGGAGGAGCCTTTGTGCAAATCACCGTTTGGTACAGCTCCTGCAGGAGCCGGAGCAGGAGCCCCTGCAAAGAGGCACTGGTGAATATGGCGGCAGGCCGATCGATAGGGTCTAACTACCCATTGTGTATCACGCTGCCATTCCAGTCATCTATAGGACGCGTGTAAGGTACAAACAGGATATTCAAGATCTCTATTGGGGGGGAGGATCCACTATGGGGCATGATTGCTGCTAGAGGCCAGTGCGGTGCTGTCGCATACGTGTCGGACGGCTCAGGCTAGCGGCGCGCACGGTCATCGGAGATAATGACCGAACCCCAACTTTGATTAAGGGGACCAGACAAACATAATAACACCTAATAAGTGTGATAAATATATACATAAGTGTACATCTCAACAAATTTTTCTATGCTTTTAACATATACAGTTAGTGTTCATGACAAAAAAATCACAATATTATGATAAAATATGAGTAAAAATAGGCAAAATATGCTTTACATTATAATATTTATAAGTATTAAAAAAATTCACTATTTTTTTTTTGGGGTTGGGGGGCACACGCCCCTGCGGTAGTAGGCGCAGGCAAGGCAAGCGTGCATGCGAGTCCATGGCCGCAAGCGCTTTCCTGCAGTGATGAATAGGAAATAGAAAAAGACGCAACAGCAGTGACCTTCAGTACCCATCTAATCGGGAGTATATAGTGACCGGCCATCCCATCGGATTCGGCAGCCTACACTTGTACAATTTGTGCCGCCGCGGAGTTAAGGAGCCCCTCAATGATCAACGTGGTCAGGCTATCCTCCATGCAGACGGACGGAACCCGATTCCGACAATGACGACGCGCACCAGCGTGATAAGGGAGAAGAACAACACCATTGTAACTATCGAACGCAACTTGAGCTTAGCCTGCAAAACATGTGTATAGAAGCCAAAAGAGTGAGTTTAGTCTAAATTCCATATATATAGTAGTAAAGAAGTTTCACAAGTGGAGTAGAATATTTTCACCGGCATGCTCCCAATGATACACCACACTAGTAGAGAACAGACCTTTCATCCGAGGTCAAAATAGGACTAGTCCGGCATTTTTTACGCCGGGACTAGAGAGATTTAGTCGGTTGATGTCTCCAACCGGGACTAAAGGTCCCCGCCCAACCATCTGCGCTCGCACACGATGGCGGGGACCTTTAGTCCCGGTTGAAGACACCAACCGGGACTAAAGGTGATTTTTACTCGGTTGGAGCCACCAACCGGGCTAAAGTCCTTCAACCTTCTCTGGTTGGTAACACCAACCGGGACTAAAGTGACCTTTTAGTCCGGGTTGATGTTACCAAGAGAGTTCTTTAGTCCCGGTTATAGTAACACCAACCGGGACTAAAGGTCTCCCAATGGAGTTAGTTCAAAAGGAAAGCATCCCATCTATTGTTAGATGTGTTGTGTAGGTGGGGTGGTATATATATATAGGTCTTGGGTTGAATCTAGTGGGAAGCATTATTTTTTTAAAGTGGGAGGATCTTTAATCATTATTTTTTTTAAATTTGGGAGGATTTTTAACCGGTTGTGTGGAGGACTAAAGAACAAATCTTTAGTCCCGGATTGCTATTTGGAACCGGAGTAGAAAGCTGATTCCCAACGGGACTAGATCTCGTTTCTCCACTAGTGCCAATCACCACCACCGAGTTCTAGGATATGCACGGTGGACCCAATACACAATTAGTGGGTGCACGTGTCCCCACTCAAATTCTAGGTTTCAAAGAAATATGTTTCTTTTACAGGTATGTCCGCTGTTTTATTCCATTATTAGATCAGTCCTAACTCCTAACGCTATAGTTTTTCTTGGAAAATGATGACGTGGCAACTAAATCTAAATTGTTGAGGAAACAGAAGAAATTAAATAGGAGGAAAGGAGATTTCTTGAGAAGGAAAGAAGATGTCGTTTCCGTCAGTGGGCTCGCCACGCCCCGGCGCTCGCTCGCCGCCTAGACAGCGCTTGCTACACCTGTTCTGTGCCCACGCCAGGCCATGCCCGCACGGCCGCACCGTGCGCACACTAGCTGGCAAGTTTCATCGTACCCTGTTGGCCTGTTGCCCAGCCGCTCGTGTCCGTGGCCATTCTGGGCGTGCCGGTTGAATCTTTTCGTCCACGGGGTTCTACTTCTACTTCTACTTCTACGTACTCTTCATAACAGCAACAGTGCATGCATGCATGCCTGCCTCATCTGCTCAGAGCATGGCGCACGCCAGCCGCCCAACTCCCCAGGCCCCAGCCCGCCACCGCGCGTCACTACCGGCCCGCTGTGCCTGTGCCAACGCCGCAAAAATACAGCACGGAAATGAGTTCTACGCAACTTGCTGAAGATACCATTTGTCTTGTCTTACAGGAGAACAAGAGATGCCATGTGCATTTTGTGGTGTGTACCTTTGATCTCAACATCTTGCAGGGCCTTTCGAAATATCCCCGGCACGATGTTGCAAGCCTCACCATCTCCATGATTGCCTTCAGGTTCAGAGAGAGACAGGAGAACAGAGGTGTCAGTTCTTCAGCACTTGCCGGATTCAGAAAACGGCGCTTCAGAGTTCAGACTACTTCAGCGGCATCCAAGAGCACAATTCTTGCTATTTGCAACAACTGTCTGTAAATAAATTCTACTGTGGCCAATCAGAGCATTAAGTTTTGATTCCCCCTTCCATTCTTTAATCTTCAGCTTTGTAGTTCTTGTACACTAATTAAATAAGATTATCTGTCTACCTACCTTGAAGCCTTGAAGTCTGGGAGGGACTTGTGGTCGGCAAATAGAAAAACACAAACTATGGCTTGCGCTTTCACGCTGCAGCGTCAGGCCTCCATGATTCTTGCATGCAATGCTAACTCGTGACTGGCCGCTCGCTTAGTTGTGATACTGTCTTTGCAAGTTAACAATGCAACTTGCACATGTACAGTTGCTCGTAAAGTTACGAACTGGGCTATACAACAGCAAGCTAGGGGCGCAGCGGTCCGGGCTAGCCTCACCCGATTAGTGAAGGTCATCGATCTGTACTCAGCCCATGCGAAGGGGCATTCTCCTGGTGCTTTATGTTCTTGCCGATCGCGTCGTGCTCCTAGTCGACCAGAGGGATAACAGAGTTGTTTAGTCCGTCAGAATCGCTGATGATCAACTTCTTGGCCCGCGGCCGGTTGCATTGATACACGGACAACGGCTTCTCTTGGCTTCCTGCTGCTTATCCTCAACGCGTCGACGACATTGGGGTGCGGCCCTGCGCCGGACGCCCTCCGCGAATCCGCGCATGAGCGCGTGCAGGCGCAGGCCACCGCG